ATCTGAGTGAGGATATCTGCTGGATGTGGTCATAAGCATCTGTATAGCTAAAGAAGAAGAGAGTGAGAAGGACCCAGGCATCACCAACATGTGAGGCGCTGGTGGAAGGAGGAGAATGGAAAAAGAAGATTAGGAAGAGGTAGTCAGGGGAACCCTGGGTGGCGCAGCGGTTTGGCGCCTGCCTTTGGCCCAGGGCACGATCCTGGAGACCGGGGATCGAATCCCACATCGGGCTCCCGGTGCATGGAGCCTGCTTCTCCCTCTGCCTGTGTCTCTCTGCCTCTCTCTCTGTGTGTGACTATCATAAATAAATAAAAATTTAAAAAAAAAAAAGGAAGAGGTAGTCATAGAAGCAGTAAGAAAACTAGGAGAGAATGGCATCATGGATGCCAAACAATGAGAGCATGTCAAGAAGGTGGTCAGTGTCAAAGCTGCTATGGGGTCAATGAAACAAGGACTTAATCCAAGGTAGGTTCCAGCAACCATGGCAAAGCAGAGGCAGTGGAGTATAGTGGGAGCAAAAGGGACAAATCTAAATCCCACACCAGCAAATTACAAATATAGATGGTATAATTTGTGAAAAGTAAACCACAAAATGACGTATAAACGCATGATAAACAGATGAATCGGGAAAGAAGACTTAGTATTTCTTTACAAATCACTGTCAACCATTCACCAATATAGGATATGCTCAGGATCTGAAATTTTAAGAGAAAAAACATCCAACCTTGAACAACAACAACAACAACAAAGTAAGAAGGAAGGAAGGAAGGCAGGCAGGCCAGCCTAAAATATTAGGCAAAAAAAAATTATTCGTTCCAATATTTGGGTGCTTAATTTGGCACAAGCATCTCTCTCTAAAATGGCAAGCTCGGGCAGCCCGGGTGGCTCAGCGGTTTAGTGCCTGCCTTCAGCCCATGGCATGATCCTAGAGTCCCAGGATCGAGTCCCACGTCGGGCTCCCTGCATGGAGCCTGCTTCTCCTTCTGCCTGTGTCTCTGTCTCTGTCTCTCTCTCTCTCTTCTCTGTGTCTATCATGAATATATAAATAAAATCTTTTTTAAATTTTTTAAAAATAAAATAAAATAAATAAATAAAATTAAATTAAATTAAAACAAAATAAAATAAAATAAAATGGCAAGCTCATGAGCTACAACAGCATTGGCCCAGGGTCCCGAATAACCTCCCCAAGTACCCAAGGCCACCCTTCTTCTAATCATAAGGAAGGACTAGAATACAAAGCCACAGAGGAAGCTAGAAGAAAGCAAGGTTGCCAAAAGCACATTAAGGCGGCCATTTGAAGGGAATGAGTTATCCCAGCCTAGTGTACCACCAGGCCCAATCCATATTAATCCCCTATCACCAAAAATCTTCTCTTTAGATCCCCTCATCTACATGACTAATTCAGGTTGACATTTTCCTTTCTGGGAACTGGAATTCAGCCAAACCAAGTTGATAGGCATAAGAAAGAAACCTAAAAACAAAAGCAAGAAAAACACATCAGCCATGAAAACCACAAACTGCTGCCCTGAGGAAGGCCCCTTGTTCTCATCTTAGAAAGCAAGGCTCCAAATCGGATGAGGAGGGGACAGGGCTTCCACTGATGCCAAACAAACATTAAGAGAGTCAGACTATTTCAGATTATTACAATGGACTATTAAATCCATTCCAAGTCATTCATGTTACAGAAAAGAGAAGAAACTTGTCCAAGGTCACATAATTTGGCCAGACCTGGACAAGAACCCATCTGATTACTTCTGCATTATACCATAACTCCTTTTAATGGCCAACCACTGGCAAATACTGATGTCCAGCCCTGGCTCACCCCAAAGCTCCAGAGCCCTATTTCCTACCATCTCTTTGACACCTCCTCTCGGCTATCCCAAATGCTCAAATTCCAACATCCAACACTGAACTCATGATCTTTCCCTAATACTCTCAATGCCAGTTTTTCATCCAGGGCTTCTTAGCTTACTAGATGATATCACCATCTATATGGTTCCTGAGCCAGACTAAAAAAACATGTCCTATGTTTGAACTCCAGCCCTATCACTTCCTAGCTGTGACTTTGGGCAGATTAAATAAGGTCTCTAAACCTCAGGTTTTGTCATCTAATAAATGGGATAACATTTAGACACCCTGGACTCCAAGATGGCTTCATTCGTACCAGTGAAGGAAAAGCAGCTAGGTGGCAAACTAGGAGAGCTAGGAGAGCTGCCAAGCTGGATACTGATATGAGATTTCACCCCTAAAGGCATTGCTGGAGCATTTCAAAGAGGTTACTACCAGTATTACAAACAAGTAAGTCAATGGGAAGAAAAGGGGACATCACTGGGATTTCTATGGTGCTGGCAGCTTATGTGCTTTTCAACTACTGTCATTGTTACAAGGACCACTGAAGAGGGCCCAGTGTGCAGGCACATTCTACATTCCTGACTATGACCTTCACCTGGCACCCTTGAATCCTTTCATATCCTATTTGAGAATTCACATCCAATAAAAGATGCTGGTACATGGGAGAAAATGAGGTAACAGGAACTACCTCCTCAGACAGCTGTGAGCACTAAAGGAGACAACATGTATAAAATGTTAGGCACCAGAAAACAAACTATTTTCTAGTCTTTTACGCACAGGTCCCTCTATCTTCTTGCCTACTCCCCCCATTCCCATCCCCTGACCTGGCTAACATTTATGAATCCTTCTCATTTCAACTCAAATTTGCCTCCCCACTAAAAGCCTTCCGTGATGGCCCCCTACCTGCTAAGGGTTGATCATAACTGTACCCCTACACACTGTTTTTCATCCTCAAAGCACAGTGTAATTTCCATTCACAGCAGTGTAATGACATATTTACTTTGCAATGGTTTGATTATTGGCCACCTCGTTCAATTGCCTATACGCTCTAGGAGGGCAGGGACTGGGAATGTTAAATCTTGTTTTTTTGTATCCTCAACACAGTACCCAGAACTTAATAGGTGTTTAGTAAACATCAGTTGAATAAAATACCCATGAAGCATATCTATCAGCAGGAAACATGGACCCAGAGATTAGAAGTCACAAGACACCAATCCATGTAAAAAACCCATGGCATCCCATCTAGGGGACTGGGCAGAAAGGGTCTGGTGAGCCCTTTCTGACCACTGCAAAGTTCATGATTTACTGCCTGTTTGACCACCATTCTAACAATTCAGGATTAGGTCTCTACAGCACTAGGATACACTCTGCACAGACATGCACAGCCACATCCTGGAGAATTTTGTGGATGAATCCCAGTCCTTCCAATTCCTCTCCTAATGTAACCATCATTCCACAGTAAGTGTGATTCTTGTGTTTAAAGACATATTTTTATACCACAGGACCTCTAAACATAGCCAACTACTACATCTGGGGCTCAACTAAAGAAACAGCTCTTTGTTCCAACTTAGGGGTGAAAGTGAGCTCTACTGGACCTAGGAGAGAATGGCATCTTGGCTCTCCAATACGGTTCCAGTAAGGGATCTTCCAGAATATTTTTTTACTACACCCAGTGCTTGTTTATGTAGCAAGTCCAAAACCTAGCCTCCCTATAATATGGAACTCTAACGAATAGCAAAATATTTTAAAGTGCAGATTTTGACACTAGGCAGACCCAGCTTCAAATTCAGATTCTGCCACTTACCAGTTATGAATAAAACTTTAGACCCATTACCTGACCTCTCTCGGCCACAGTTAAGTCATCTACACTAATAGATAGAACAGTACCTAGATCTTACAGTTGTAGGAAGCATTAAATATAAATATACAGGATATGGCTAAGTTATTATCCTTAAGAAAGTTCTTTGTACACAGATAAAATTCTGTCTATAACACAGTTCTGGGCCTAACAGATTGCCCCATTCACAGAGCATAGTCAGTTAAGTACCACAATCATCCTTAGCCTTTGTCTATTCTGTTTGAGACTTAGCACCTCAATTCCTTATGGGAATATCTGACACCACTCTTCTATTCTGAGTAGAACTGCCTGTGAATAAGTGATCCTTCTTCCTAAGTTGGATAACGAAATGTCATACAAATCACCCAACTTCCTCTTGTCTTTAGGGTCAGTGAACCCAGTTTTTTCATAATTCCTCTCAGGCAGACACACACACACCAGCATGCACACACCCTTTTTTGAGAATATGACTTCCCCAGCACAGGACTCAGAGATACTACATAAGATAACAGTTGTAGACACAAAAATGATAAGCATTCTTTATCCAAAAGAAAACATTGGATAAAGGAAACATAAAATTTTCTAAGCCACGAAAAACGGAGACATCACTTGTGATTCTGTCATAATATTCCTTTTATATCTACTATATGTAAGAAATAGTAGTCACTGCCATATGTAAAATAACTGTTCTCCAAACTGCACGCACTAGGCACTGAAAGAGAATATGGAAGAACTACCTCTGCCTTCCAAAAGCTTGCAGTGTAACTGGAGGCACAAAACAAAGGGCAACAGCTAAATTTGCATTGAATGAATGAATGAATGAATGAATGAATAATAATAATAATAATAATAATAACAATAATAGTAATAAAAGAATAAGGCAGAAATAAGATAGGCTATTTGGGAAAAAAAATAAAGCACTCCTGAAAGAGATGCCTAATGATGTAGGTAGAAGGGCATTATAGACATACAAAAGACCAAGAACCAGCTTGGATTAGTCTAGAGACACTGAGAAAAGGGTAGAAACACACATTACAAAAAAAGATTTAGGAGAACAGGGGAGCTGTTCTGGCTGGCTCAGTCAGTAGTCTTATGAGACTTTTGATCTTGGGGTCATGAGTTCAAGCTCCACACTGAGGGTAGAATTCACTCTTAAAAAGATTTAGAAAAATATATAAGCAACAGAATAAGAAGTGCAATATTTGCATAAGGGGGCAGTTTTATATCTTCCTTGAAAAAAACATAGAGGATCCATCAAAAAGTCATGTCCCCATAGTCTCCCACATATGTGGCATAAAACATCACTTACCCGAATAAGGGAAGCCTTATGCCGAGGGGGCTTGGCTCCTGGGGCCCCTGACGAGGGTCCTTCAGGCTGGACAAGGGGCTGTCTAGCTTCATAAGGAGCTGAAAAAGCAGGAGGAAAAGTCAGCATAGTATAAAAAGATACTACTCAAAAATGATGATTTCACACTCAAACTGAGACTGTTCTTCAGGGAAGAATTAGCAAAGGAGTCAGAGTTTATCTACATTGGGCCACGTTGAACAAACCTTGATGCCCCTGGGTACAATTTAGGGAAGCAATCTAAAGACATTCAACTGATTCATGAAAAGACAGGAAAATATTTACATCAAGTTGAGATTAGGAAGAAATTAGAAAAGTGGAAAGGTAGGAACCTAAATTGGAACAGAAAGCAATAACAACAGTCAGAAAAGTGCCATGTTATAAATGCTCAAATTCTAAATATCAGGTAACTTCTATATGTACCTGCTGGTTTAAAAGTCTTGCATTCATCATCCACCTTCTCAAGAAGCAAGAAAATAAATATGCATTTTCAACACTAAGAATCATTATTATTAATTTTTCAAAAATAAATGGCACAATCTTCTTTCCCTTATTGGAAAGAATGTAAAACCAGGTAGAGAAAAATACAAAAAGGAATAAATGTATTTTATCTTTATTATTTTATCTTTCAAAAACCAAATGAAAAATACTTTTGCTGACTTTGAGAAAAGTTCTTACGCCACAAAAACAAATGCATTTTTTTAGTCCCTTTTATTTCCAGAACACTTCATAATGATCTTGCCAATATGGTAGGAAAATAGTTAAATATAATCAGGTAGTATTCAGCTCTAACACAAAGGAGAAATTATCACCCAAGATGAAACCATTTTTTTTATTTTGTTTATTTATTAGAGACAGAGAGAGAGAGAGAGAGAGAGAGAGAGAGAGAGAAGCAGAGACACAGGCTCCATGCAGGGAGCCCTATGTGGGACTCAATCCCACGTCTCCAGGATCACCCTGGGCTGAAGGCGACGCTAAACCACTAAGCCACCGGGGCTGCCCGATAAAACCATTTTTGATGAACATTCCGGTTAACAATTCAAGATTTTGTTTTTTTTTATGATAGTCATAGAGAGAGAGAGAGAGAGAGAGAGAGAGAGAGAGAGAGAGAGAGGCAGAGACACAGGCAGAGGGAGAAGCAGGCTCCATGCACCAGGAGCCCGACGTGGGATTCGATCCCGGGTCTGCAGGATCGTGCCCTGGGCCAAAGGCAGGCACCAAACCGCTGCACCACCCAGGGATCCCCCAATTCAAGATTTTGGAAGTATATCAAGAAGTAAAAAACTGAGGCACCTGGGGGGCTCAGTCGGTGAAGCGTCTGACTCCAGCTCGGGTCATGCTCCCAGGGTCCAGGTATCCCCCTGCTCAGGGGGAGTCTGCTTGTCCCTCTCCCTCTCTCTGCTGCCCCTCTCCCTGGCTTTTGCTCTCCGTCTCTCTCTCAAATAAATAAATAAAATATTTTTTAAAAAAAGTAAAATGCTTTCTTCCTAAAGCTTCCTTATAAGTAAAATTAGGTAGAGAGAGCAGAGCAGAGCAGCTTGTTATGGCATTACCCTTAGCATACTTTGATCAGTTGAAAATAAAGGAGGTGTAAAAATACCATATCAAGAACAGCAAACCACTCTTGGGCTCACATCTGCTTTTTGTATTTCCTCCAAGGGACTGGAATACAACATTATAACACATTTAAAATACATTAGAACATCAAAAATCACCACCTGGAAAAGCATTAAGTAGATTTTCAGACCCTGCTAAGAATAAATAAAAACATATAAACTGCAAAAGACACCAACCCAAGAACATATAATCCAAATCTTAGGTAGGTTTCAGCTGGTAGGCAGGTGTTCCTTTGAAGAAGGATTTTTTAATTAAATTATTTTTTTATTTTTATTTAAATTCAATTAATTAACATCTAGTGTATTATTAGTTTCAGAGGTAGAGTTCAGTCAAAGAAGGATTTTTAAGATCATTCCATTTTGATAAAATACCCAATGCCAGAATTAAACTCTTAGTGCCGGAAGTTTTGAACCATAGTAATCTGTATCATGGTTGGGATACTAGTGAACATGAGCTTTTCCTGGGTAGCTATCCCTATGTTTCTGGTTCCCTTCAGAGGGAAGGAGCATCTACTGCACAGGAGGAACACATATACAAGGAAGCCACCTGCTTCATGGCTCCAGTCCCTTACTTACAAAGGGTCTTCCCTTGGAAAAGATAGACATATTTTGTCTTCCCTTGGAAGAGATAGACATAACTCATCAGTAAGGCCTTGAACAAAGACTCAGTTTCATGGGTGATCATTTTTTAAAAGGCCTGGCCTCAATGGACTGGCCTTTCTTCCTACTCCTGTGGGAAGCCTGGATTGGCCTCACCTGCCTATGACTGAGAAAGTGAGTGTATGAAGCCCATCTGGTCACAAATCTAAAACATGCACTCCGATCAGCTTTGTCAGTACCAGAGCTGATAATCAGACCATCATCAGTCTGACTCGTCTCATTCCTCAGTCGGATCTCAACTCAGAAGGTAAAAAGGTGCTACTTACTGCCTCTGCTCTCCTTTCTCCCGAATAAAACCTGGAACATTTAATTCAATGCAAAAGAAATAATTCTTAGGTCCCCTTATGAGAGGTTTGATGAGGAACTAGAAATATCATCTTTCTCCAAAGGGAAGAATAAAAGATGAACCCTAAAGATTTCATCACTCTGAGATTGTCAAGCTAGAACAGAACCACTAGTAACTGCACAATAAAGACTCTATGTCTGCAGTCAACCCAATGAATGATATTCAGAAGGTAACTTTCAAGAATACTTAAGAGCTTCAAAAATTAAACAGGTACCAGATTCTAAAAACACAAAAGAAAACACTAGGCAACATTTGAGCACCTACAATGTGCCAGGAACTGTGCTCAGCACAGAGGTTTATATAACATTCCTTATTTGATCCACAGGACAAACCTCCTAGGCAGATGTTATTCCATTTCACAGATAAAGGAAATTAAAACTCAGAGAAGTGACACACCCAGAGTCCCACAGGCCAGAAATGAAGGCTCACCAAGTCTACGTTTAGGCCCAGGACACTGACATCACAGCCCATGCTCTTAAGAGAGTACATTCCTAGGATTCATATGTCAGAATAAGATGTGTAAGAAAAAACAGAACAGGTATCTTGATTTGGAGATAAGGCATTAGATATCAGAAGAAACAGATAAGATTTGAAAGCAGTTACCTCTGGAGATCAGAAATAGGTTGAGTGGGAAGAAGAACAGTTGTTTTCACTACAGACATTTAAGTATTATTTAACTATACAGATTACTGTGATTTAAACATTTTTTTAAATATGGGTAGCAGTATCTGCCTCTGAGGGTTGTGCTAAGCAGCAAATAATGCACATGAAGATCTCTGCATGATGCCTGGCACACAAGTCTTAGCCACTGACTATTAGCTACATCTAGCAAGTTAGACTAGCAGGAGCGAGGAGAGAAGTTGAAGAGGGGCTCTGAAGCCAACTGGTCTGGAGATCCTCAGTCTGATTTAAAACATACTCACATGCATTCCCCACTAGCCAGGAATCATGGCAGAATTTTGGACAGGAAAATGACCCCAGAAAAATGTACTCCTATAAAACTATTCCAGCAGCGAGACTCCTTTCTGAAAAGGAATAAATTAAGAATAACTCTAGGGGTGCCTGAGTGGCTCAGTTGGTTAAGCAGCTGCCTTCAGCTCAAGTCATGATCTCAGAGTCCTGAAATTGAGTCCCACATCAGGCTCCCTGCTCAGTGGGGAGTCTGCTTTGCCCTCTCCCTCTGTCCCTCCTCCCCCTTACTCATGCTTGCTTGTGCTCTGTCACAAATTTAAAAAAAAAAAAAAAGAGGGACACCTGGGTGGCTCAGAGGTTGAGGTCAGCTCAGATTGTGATCCCAGGATCCGGAATTAAGTCCCACATAAGGCTCCTTGCAGGGAGCCTGCTTCTCCCTCTGCCTATGTCTCTGCCTCTCTCTGCGTGTGTCTCTCATGAATAAATAAATAAAATCTTTTTAAAGAACAAAATCAAAGGGCAGCCCAGGTGGCTCAGTGGTTTAGTGCCGCCTTCAGCCCAGGGCGTGATCCTGGAGACCCGGGATCGAGTCCCACATCAGCCTCCCTCCATGGAGGGAGCTTCTCCCTCTGCCTGTGTCTCTGCCTCTCTGTCTCTCATGAATAAATAAATAAAATCGTTAAAAAAATACACTTAAAAAAACAAAATAAAAAATAAAAATAAAGAGTAACTCTAGAATATTTACTACTACAGTCACTAAGATTTAATAGGTTTTAGATAAGCTTTTCTGTAGATCAAAGAGAAGATGGAGTACAGAAACAGGAAAGAGAATCCTCAGTTTGTCATATGGGTTGATGGCATGGTGAAGGCAATAGAGAGTTATGAAACAGATGGAAAAGAGCATGGAAGCCTTAAGAAAAACTGAGTTCTGAAAATGTGGGGAGAGAGAGAATGAAGACATGTGGGATTCTCTTAATTCTTGACCTAAGGATAAATGACAGAAAGGGAAGCAGACAGGCAAAGAAAATCCTCTAGGGGAGAATCTATAGACATTATAAAAACAAGAGTGAACAAGCTTTGAAGTGAGTATTATAAATTAGAAGTAAAAAATCACAAGACTGAACCAAGTTGCAGATAGACAAACTCTCCCCTCCTTTGACTTACAGAAGACTGAATGGCACCTGTCAACATTTTACTTCTGAATGACCTTTTTTCCAGCTACAGGGACCTAACAGACTTCTAATCAATGGCTAGACCCAAAAACTCAAATTCTTTGAGATACAGGCAACTGACTGTTCACTCAGACTCCTCTTTATGGGTATGCTAGGCAAAGAAGAACCCTCTGAAATAGTAGCTCATCAACTTCAAGGTTCATGATATTGGAGAAAAACCAGGAAGGATAACTTAGAAAAGTACATTTCAAGAATAAAAGAGTGACCACAAGGAAATGTCTTCACATCTAATAGAATGACTACAATTAAAAGCACTGAAGAAAAGGGAACTACAGAGAGAACCAAATGCTGGCAAGGAACACGGAACTCTCATACATTGCCAGTGGGAAAATACAGCCACTTGGTAAAACTCTGGCAGTTTCTTATACACCTTTCCTAAGGTACAGCAATGCTACTCGTAGGTTCCAGGGAAATGACAATATATGTCACAAAAAGACTCACAAACAAATGTTCATTATAGCCTTACTCATAACAGCCAAATACTGGAAACAACCCAAATGTCCATCAACAGGAGAATAGATCATGAAATTGTGGTACGTTCACACAATGAAACACTACTGAGTACTAAAGAGAAACAAACTGAGATCCAGAACACAGATGAATCTCAAGCACTAAGCCGAAGGAAAGATGGCAGACACATAAGAGTCCAGCCATTCAGGGCAGCCTGAGTGGCTCAGTGGTTTGGCACCTGCCTTCAGCCCAGGGTATGATCCTGGAGACCCGGGATTGAATCCCAGGTCTGGCTCCCTGCATGGAGCCTGCTTCTCCCTCTGCCTGTGTGTCTCTGCCTCTGTGTGTGTGTGTGTGTGTGTGTGTCTCATGAATAAATGAATAAAATCTTAAAAAAAAAGAGTCCAGCCATTCAATAGGATTCCATGTATATGAAGTTCTGAAAGACAAAACTCATCTAAGGTGATAAAAAGTCAGGACAGTCCTCACTCTGGGAGCCAGGGAGGGACTGGAAAGGGGTATCTCTGTGGTGACTGAAATGTTCTATTCTTGATCAAAGTGGTGGCTACACAGATGTTAAAACTCAAACAGGATGGGACACCTGGGTGGCTCAGTGGTTGAGCATCTGCCTTTGGCTCAGGGTGTGATCCTGGGTCCGGGGATCAAGTCCCGCATCATGCTTCCTTGCATGGAGCCTGCTTCTCCCTCTGCATCTCTCATGAATAAATAAATAATTTTTTAAAAAAATCAAACTGGAGATTTTTTTTTTTAAATTTTCATTTATTTATGATAGTCACACAGAGAGAGAGCTAGTAAGAGAGGGAGAGACATAGGCAGACGGAGAAGTAGGCTCCATGCACCGGGAGCCCGACGTGGGATTCGATCCCGGGTCTCCAGGATCACGCCCCGGGTCAAAGGCAGGCGCCAAACCGCTGCGCCACCCAGGGATCCCCAAACTGGAGATTTTTAAATGTGTGCATTTTATCACTTAGAAAACAGAATAAAACACAATGAAGGAACAGACAACTCTGATACAGGCCACTAAAAGTCCAGAAAGATGGAGAGAAGCTGGTTGTCTCCCTGCCAATGGGGGAATGGAAGTCCAATGTGAATGGAATGAAGAAAGAACAGGGCAACAAGCAGAGCAAATGCGGACAAGTTTTTAAAGGACTAACAAACAAAAAAAGTCAGGGTAGAACTTGGTAATAGGCTGATTTAGTAGAACAAAAAATGACTCACCCGTGAATTAAAAACCAAATCACAGGCACCATGCTGGGCATAAACCTCCAATGTCCAACCCCAGATAACATTAGGAATCAAAAAGAACTCCATTTCTAGAACTAGAGAAGTCAGGCAGGAGAGACTTTAAGAGGAAAATGAGAATTCTCAACCCTACTTAGTTTCAGACCCTACTGGGACATTCAAGTTTCAGAAGAGTCATTTTTGTTACCATCCTTTAATAACATCATCTTACATTTGCATAGGACTGAGTTTCTAATCAGTCTTTATACCCCTGTTCTCACTAATCCTCACAACACCCCTCCAGAATACCATTACCCCATTTTAAAAGAGGAAAGAAAATCATGGTTCAGAGCAGTTCAATGGCTTGCCCAAGGTCACACAGCTAGTCACATTAAACCCACGACTTCGGATTCCAATCAAAAGACTTTTCCATTATGCCACACCTGCTCCTCTCTCTACAAGATTACAGCCTCTCTCTAACCTAGCACACATTTTTATCTGTATTCCTTCCAGAACTCACCACTATTTTCAATGCAGCAAAAACCTGCAGAAACTGGGTCATTTTCAAACACAGCCCACAAAATACAAAAGGAGGATTATGGATAACCAATTCTAGAATACCTTTAATTAGTCCTATCTTAAACTATGAGCCTGAGCCCCAGGACAAGATGCTGCAGTGAATTTATGGGGCTTTAGGCACTGCAGGCTAGGCGGCCAACTTTGCAAGTCATCCTCAGAACCAACTAACGTATTTTACCACTAACATGGCCAACACAGCATAAATGTGAGCAAGCAGGCAACCCCACAACTAGACACTTCACACACTTCTCAGCAAAATGTTTCCCCTACCATTTACTTCCCTTATTCATATTCCCAAACACAAGAGCTAAATATTTTCATTTATGTGATCAGTCTTGAAAGGTTGAATCAACTCTTTTGCTTTTGCAGTTATATTTTCTTAAGTAGTTTCATAAAAGCAGTTGTTATATAAATATGTTTGGAATGTTTGCTGAAAGGAACAATTCCAATACCCATCTTTTTCACATGCTATGTTCCTGTGTAATGAAATCTGTATATGAAGGATTAAATCGTCTAAATCATTTACAAGTCCAAAGATAAACTAGTTTGTAGGAGAGGAGACAAGGCATTACTAAGATATATTTCATTTTCTTCTTTAAAAAAACCTTGCTTGAGAGTATAAAATTAAATCGAGCCATGTTTCCAAGGACAGAGGTAATTAAGTCAGGAGATTCAGCAGCTGGTGGCGTTGCTGCCTGATAGATTAAGGAGTCTCTAAGACACTGCTGGGACAGCTGGACAAGATCGCCTCTTACCTGGATGCATCTGCTCCGTGCTGCTCCGCAGTTTGCTGTAGCCATGGCTCAAGGGCACCCTCTGGTAATGAGGCGGGGAAGAAGGAGGGGAGGCGAGGGGTGACATCGTGGGAGACTGTGTTTCCTGCTTCAAAGAACCAGAGCAGAGTTCAGAGGCAATCACTCGAGAAGCCTGGCGCTCTGAGCTGCAGTTATGAAGTATAATGCAACCCTATTGCTGGTGAGATGGCTGATTTAACAAATGGAGGGAATGTTTTCTCAAAAACACAGTTTGGTTAAAATGCAGTGTCTGAGGATTCACATCTCCCAGAGAATCAAGTCTTGCCAGCACTTAGTTACCTAAATTACTAAAACAAGCCTGAAATGCTTTCAGTTATTCCACTAAAATTTTCCTTTGGAAAATGGAAGACAATGATCACATGAAATAGCATTCATTCTCCCCAAATCTGATCTCCTCGTGGATAAATTCCATTTTTATTCATTTAATAAAGGCTATTTCCTGGATTTACACTTATCAAGTCTTCTAGCAAATGTGGATATTAAAAATATACATTTAAAATGCTTAATGCTAAATGTTCCTGGAGCTTACTATGCCAAAGTAAAATGCCAGCTTTTTCCACACTGGGGGAATTATAAAACAATTCATTATGGGAAAACCACTCCTAACCACTAGAATGGAGGCTTACTTAACAAGCTACAGTTCAAATTTCAGTTGAAATGTGAATTTTATGTAGGACTCTAGCAAGGTAAACAACCTTGCTCTGCTACTGGGTTTCCTCCTCTTTTTTTTTAATGCTATCAATAAACTGGAGTACCCAAGTAACAAGGAAATAGTACTTTTAATCAATATGCAGACTATATAGGTGCTCTCAGTCTAAAAATAAAAAAGCAATCTGAGATACTGATCAAATACTCTTCTTCAAGAAAAAAATAGAATATTTCTTTTGAAGTGTAAGTTCACAACAGATTGGATGGGCCTAGCATAAACCCAACCTGAAGTGAAAGGATGTGTCCTCAATCATGCAGCCAGGGGATGGGCCTAGAAAGTCCCTAGGGTATCAAACATCCTGGGATAGTGGACTCTCATTCCTCTTCAAACACTGGTAGGAAAACATGCCAGAGTACTGACTGAAGGTTCCTACACTCCTTATTTGTGTGTGTATGTATGTGTATATATAAATGTGTATATATATAATAAAACCTGTATATAAATATATACACACCCCTGAAGAACCTGTTTAAAATGTATCAGAATTACAAAAGCAACAGTACACTCAGCCATTTAACAGGACGTGCTATACATCACTTGACTGTAAATATAAAAATTCTGCAGCAACCTCATTGTATATACAGCATTATCATGATGAGCCATGTAAATTAGTTCTCAACTTAATCCTTTAAACACTCAGCACATTTAAAAAACATTTTGAGGGAGCCTGGGTGGTTCAGCGGTTTAGCGCTGCCTTCCGCCCAGGGCCTGATCCTGGAGACCCAGGATCAAGTCCCCCATGTCAGGCTCCCTGCATGGAGCCTGCTTCTCCCTCTGCCTGTGTCTCTGCCTCTCTCTGTGTGTCTCTCATCAATAAATAAATAAAATCTTTAAAAACATAAAATAAAATAATTAAATTAAATTAAAAAATAATAAAATAATAAAAATAAAAAATATTTTGATTCGTCTTCCTAAAATATGACAAATTTGTCTTACAGAAGACACTATATTGAATATCATTTGACTTTTCTATATGATTCAGTATCTTTATTAGAAGTATGAGCTGTACCTTGATGCCCTTAGAGTTTACTAATTTGTGAGACTATTTACCTCTTTCTTTCTTCTGAGATTTTATACTTCTATCTCTATCAATCACCACCTGACTATTGCAATTAGTGCTCCAATTTTTTTAAAGATTTTTATTTATTCATGAGAGACACAGCAAGAGAGAGAGAGAGAGAGAGAGAGAGAGAGAGAGGCAGAAACACAGGCTGAGGGAGAAGCAGGCTCCCTGCAAGGAGCCTGATGTGGGACTTCATCCCGGATCCTGGGATCACGCCCTGGGCCAAAGGCAGACACTCAACCGCTGAGCCACCCAGGCATCCCTAGTGCTCCAATTTTAAAAGCTCATCCTCCCTTTTCTTGTCCCTTGGCTGCTAAGTGTATAATGGCAGCATTTCCCAAGATGGAATTCCAAACATGCTCCACAGGAAAGGATTCCCTGGTGAAAGAAGTTTACTAAATACAAATCTCCAAGTCTCTTTGCAGCAGGACTTCTCAGGACCTTGAATGTGCTAAAGTGCACTATGACTCTCCAAGACGGAGGATGTAGTCTTTCCCCCCAAGAAAAGGATATAAAGCAGCATTCTCCAAACATATTTAACCACAGAAACCTTTCTCCAAACTTTTTGTGAGGAGAATATCTATTAAAAACGCTTAGGTAAGCCTGACTGGTTCAGTCAGTAGAGCATGTGACTCTTGATCACAGGGTCCTGAGTTAAAGCCCCACACTGGATGCAGAGTTTACTTAAAAACACAAAATTCCTAGGGCAGCCCCAGTGGCTCAGCAGTTTAGCACCGCCTTCAGCCCAGGGTGTGATCCTGGAGACCCAGGATCAAGTTCCACATCCGGCTCCCTGCATAGAGCCTGCTTCTCCCTCTGCCTGTGTCTCTGTCTCTCTCTCTATGTCTCTCATGAATAAATAAATAAAATCTTTAAAAAAAAAACTCCTAGAAATTACATTTCAAAGAACCCATTGGGAAATGTCAATTAGAGAAATCAGTAAATGTGTTAAATCAGTAGCCTTACTTTGGACATAGTTCTACATTCAAGTAGGTTCTAAAGGGCTCATGGGTGGCTGGCTATACATCAGCTTCTTTTTCTTGCTACAAGGAAACTTTACTGGCTCATTTCCAAGTCTATAATTGTATCCCAGATGGTGAAATTTGCTAGAAGCTTGACAGCAGATATGAGGCACTGCTATGTGAGGTCTCATGGTCAGAATCAAACAGACATGCCTGATAAGGCTGTTTACCTGTTTATCCTCATCGTCCATTCTTTTGAAGGTATTTTTTTCTGTGATTAAATATGGAATCTGAACCTTAGTTCCATGCAGTTCAGCCGGGTTCCCAAATCGTATCTCAGCATCAGTCTTTGACATCATAAAGCGAGGCAGTGGCAGTTCTTTAGGATCAGAATCAGAGAAGCTTAAGTGAGACTTTATTTTAAAACTGTGAAAAGCAGAACTCAATGGCCAAAAGATGAATCACTTTTGAGGAAAAATTCCAGAGCACTAAATATAGATTAAATTTTTATTTTGACATAATGAAGACTCCTATAATAAAGTCATGATAGAAAAATGCTTCAGTTTTACCAAGGCATTCTGGCTTCACATTTTTAAATGCTGTCAAATCACTGCAGAGAATATTCAGGTTTTGGAATGATCTCCCACCTCAGCCTTTAGTCTAGCACCAGCAAAAAGGATGTGATATTGTATAAACACAGTTAGTGGCTAAAGAAACAGGCAAAACCTATACAACACGTATTATATGCGAGGCACGATATCAAGACCTGCAAACGCTGTCATTTAATCCTCACAACAACTCAATACGGTAAGACTATCATTAATCTTCTTTTTTTAAAAAAAGATTTTATTATTAAAAAAAAGATTTTATTTACTTATTCATGAGAGACACAGAGAGAGAGGCAGAGACATAGGCAAAGGGAGAAGCAAGCTCCATGCAAGGAGCCTGATATGGGACTTGATTCCGGTACCACAGGATCACGCCCTGAGCTGAAGGCAGAAGCTCAACCACTGAGCCACCCAGGTGTCCTTATCATTAACCTTCTTTTACAGATGTAGAAACAGACACAGAGGAGCTAAGTAACACCCCAAGACCGCACAGCTCATTATCTGTGGCAGAGCTGGTTCTTCCCAGTGCCCAGAGCTGCTGCCCTACAGAAAGGTCCCTCATTCCTAGGGCAAACTTACTGGGTAAAACAGTTTTTCCACCCTATGTCATTCCTTAAGGAATTTTCACACTCCATCTCCAATTGTCTTTTCATAATGGAATAAGAAAAATGGTATCAAGTTAAAGCAATGAGTCCAACGTTCAGCCAGATTCTGTCAAAACCATTAGCCACCCTCACAATTCTACAAAGAGCTGAAACACAACAGTCTAGAATATTTCCTTATCTTTCAAATATCTGATAAAACTATTCTGAAACAGAAACGATGCTTTGGCACACTTCTAGTTCTCGGCACAGCATACCGCACACAATCACACAACACAAAGAACTCTAAAAATGGGGATAATATTATGGATTATGCATAATGATTTGCATCTGTATCCATTGTTCAGGATAATACTCATCACCATGCCTCTGCACTCCCATCAGCTTTCTATTCCAAACACAGCTGCACTTCCACTGATTGATGCTGTGCTAAAGCCAGAAAACATCTTAGCAACAACAACCAAGGATCCCAGCTCCCCAGGAAAAGAAGGCCCCTGGTTCTCTAATATCCACATCATGTTTATTTTTAGTTGCTATGTCCACATTTGATTCAAAGAAGTAGGCAATATGACGAATCCCTGCATGATCAATCAGCCAAAGGCCCAAAAGACATAAATAGAATAAGCAATCTGGAAAATTAAACCAGGACTCTCCTCTAAAAAGAGGATGGCCACCATTTGCAACATTTTAACATTTCTCAACCTCGGCAGTTCGCCAGTACTCAAGGCAGGAATGGACTCCAAAAGAAAAAAGGCAGAAGAAAAGAAAATCTAGATTCTTAGTAAGTCAAATAGAAGCTAATCCTATGGTTATCTTCTCAAAAGGGTATTTGTTTCAATTCAGTCTGCAAAAGGGATCTAAAAAGATGAACAAGATTACATAAAATAATCTGCACCCTGATTGTCCATGAGAGGATGACTCTACTCCCAAACACTACTTGAGGGAGTAGAGAATTAAATGCTCACATTTGTAAACTCCCTGATCAGTGTTTTACTGGGTATTCAACAGACAATTCTGGAAATGATAGAATACAAACACAAGAAGATGAATATCAACCATTATTATACTAGGCCTCCCCAATATCCTTTAGAACACTGTCACTTTACACATTCTCCTTCCCCAGCTACAGCATTTCTCTGGATCTAGTCACCTGGCAACGAACCTCTCTCCTCCAGATGGCTACCAAACAGCAAAACACATAATATAGCTGAATTTCTCTAGTACTTTCTTTGCTTATGTGGTTTTAAACAACTCTCACTTAACAGAATTGTAACCATACATAATAATCATCGTTATCACTGCAAACTTTCATGAAGATGGCATCTCCCTTAAACTGCTCCTCCAAGCTTTCAAAAAGTAAAACTCTTAGTTTGTAAATATTCCGTCTAAATGCTTTTTTGTACTTGGGATACCTGGGTGGTTCAGCGGTTGAGCGTCTGCCTTTGGCTCAGGGCACGATCCCGGTCTGGGGATCGAGTTCTGCATGGGGCTCCCTGCGAGGAGCCTGTTTCTCCCTCTGTCTATGTCTCTGCCTCTCTCTGTGTCTCTCATGAATAAACAAATAAAATCTTTTAAAAAAATAAAATAAAATAAATCAATAAAGTATCTGCTATCCAGTGATGTATGTCAAGTAATCACAAGAGCCGTTTGTAGTAGTTGGTTAGAATTTTTTCTCCCAAAGTGAATTAAATTAACACAAGAAAATAAATAGTTCAAATTAAAGGTTTATGAGGGCCAAGGAGACAATGAGTGCAGCCATCCAAGGCAATAATTTGTTTCATAATGTTATCTTAGGTTGTTGTCTTTGAACATAGAAACACTTTGTATATTAAATATAAATGACAAATATATATATATATATATATATATATATAAATGACTATTTTTCCCTTCCACAAAGAAAACTATGCTTCTAAGCATCTGACCCTCTAAAAAATAAGGGAAAAATACTTTCATTTTCCATGTTTGATGGAGATATGAATATAAGAAATACTTCCATTTCCTCAATTAGAAAAAACATAAACGTAAAACAGAAATGCAATAGCAAACGGTAAATGACAATGTGGAGAGGTGAGGCTGAGCAGAGAACCCATGTCCCATCTAAAATGGCAGCTGCAGGGATCCCTGGGTGGCTCAGCGGTTGAGTGCCTGCCTTGGGCCCAGGGCATGATCCTGGAGACCCGGGATCGAGTCCCACGTCAGGCTCCCTGCATGGAGCCTGCTTCTCTCTCTGCCTCTCTCTCTCTCTCTCTCTCTCTCTCTCTCTCTCTCTCTCTCTCTTTCTCTGTGTGTGTGTGTGTGTGTGTCTCATGAATAAATAAATAAAATCTTAAATTAAAAAAAACTGTCTAAAAAAATAATAAAATAAAATGGCAGCTGCTACTCACTGTCCTTCAATACCAATCCACTAGAAAGCAAAGGTGAGCTGCATACATAATTGTAAATTGTGTACTAACTACAATTTTTTTTAATTTTTATTTATTTATGATAGTCACAGAGAGAGAGAGGCAGAGACACAGGCAGAGGGAGAAGCAGGCTCCATGCACCGGGAGCCCAACGTGAGACTCGATCCCGGGTCTCCAGGATCGCGCCCTGGGCCAAAGGCAGGCGCCAAACCGCTGCGCCACCCAGGGATCCCTAACTACAATTTTTTAAGTGAAGAAACCAGTCACAAATAAGACAAACACTGTATGATTTCATTTATATAAGGGATCAATAGTGAAATGTATAGGGATAGAAAGTAGAATGGTGCCTGCCTATGACTAGAGTGAGGGGGAATGCAAAGCTCTTTAATGGGTATAGAGTTTCATATACCTAAAATGAAAAGATTTCTGAAGATAGATGGTGGAGATGGTTGCACAATATCAATGTACAAAACGGTACAATTAAAAAAATGGTTTAAGGTGGGGCACCTGGCTGGCTCAGTAGGTAGAACACGCAACGTTGAACTCAGGGTCATGGGTTCGAACCCCACATTGGGTGTGGAGATTTTTTTTTTTTTTAGATTTTGTTTATTTACTCATGAGAGACACAAACAGGCAGAGACACAGGCAGAGGGAGAAGCAGGCTCCACACAGGGAGTTCAACACGGGACTTGACCTCAGGTCTCCAGGATCACACCCTGGGCAGAGGGCAGGCACTAAAACTGCTGGGCCACCCGGGCTACCCAAGTGTGCAGATTATTTAACAAAAAAAATGGCTAAGGTATTTTACAGTAAGTTGTATGTTACATATATTTTATCAGAATTTTTCAAGACTTTTTCTTTTTTTTTTATTTATTTATGATAGTCACACAGAGAGAGAGAGAGAGGCAGAGACACAGGCAGAGGGAGAAGCAGGCTCCATGCACTGGGAGCCCGACGTGGGATTCGATCCCGGGTCTCCACGATCGCGCCCTGGGCCAAAGGCAGGCGCCAAACCGCTGCGCCACCCAGGGATCCCTCAAGACTTTTTCAAATAAAAAAAGGAAACAGGTGAAATCAATTTTAATCATTATTTGAACCCAATATTATAAGATATAATCAAGATAAAAATTATTTTTAAGGTTTTTTTTTTAAAGATTTTCTTTATTTATTCATGAGAGACACAGAGAGAGGCAGAGACACAGGCAGAGGGAGAAGCAGGCTCCATGCAGGGAGCCCGATGCAGGACCTGATCTGGGAATTCCAGGATCACGCCCTGAGCCAAAGGCAGATGCTCAACCGCTGAGCCAGCTAGGCGTCCCAAGATAAAAATTATTAATGAAATAGTTTATGTTCTTTTTTTCAGACTGTTTTTTTTCCAGACTTCCAAGTGTATATTGTACCTGCACTACACACCTTGATTCAGACATACATTTCAAGTGCTCAGGGGCCATGTTAGTATGGCTACTGTCTACCCTACTACAACAGCACAATTCTAGTTGATGGTTAACACAAGGGACTGTAGGGATCCCTGGGTGGCGCAGCGGTTTGGCGCCTGCCTTTGGCCCAGGGCGCGATCCTGGAGACCCGGGATCGAATCCCACGTCGGGCTCCCGGTGCATGGAGCCTGCTTCTCCCTCTGCCTATGTCTCTGCCTCTCTCTCTTTCTCTGTGACTATCATAAATAAATAAAAATTTAAAAAAAATCAAAAAAAAAACACAAGGGACTGTAGACCACTGTGGCCAGAAATCAGGATTTCACTAAGA